CAATGCTTTTTGTAGAATACAAATGCAAAACTAATGGGATCTATAGATTTGCACTTTGTATGAAGTACAAACGTAAAAATAAAGATACATATAGAGTCACATAAAGTGCACAAAATTCTATCATTAAAATAATGGCCTACTTCATGTTGCCACACACCAGCAGTTTCCTTTTTTATTTTAAATCATTAAAATCCTGCTGCTATCGACAAAAACATGACTACCATCAGCAGAAAGATCAGAAGAAAGAAAAGAGTGAGTTTATATTTAGGTAATCATTGTCTATTTCAAACTTAAAGTCCAACTTCAACAGAAGATCAGAAGTAAATTGGAGAAGCAGTGAAATTGGATGCTAGGTTGTCAGAAGAAACACAGTTATCTTGCCTTTACTAACCACCAGCTATAGTCAGCTTTGTAAAAGTATATTTTTTATTTTTTTAAAGTAGTATTTCATTTGCATCTTTTGGTTTCAAAAGGCACAGTTTTATGGCTCATTAGAAAAATGCGTGTTTTGTTTTATAGGTAGCAAGAAGACTTTCTTTAATAAAACATCCAGAGTGCTCCACCATGTGTGGTGGGAAAGCTATAGAACATTTGGCAAAACAAGGAAATAAATTACAATTTGATCTCAAGCCACCCTTGCATCGTAACAAAAACTGTAATTTTTCTTTTACTGGACTTCAACACACTGTTGACAAAATTATAATACGAAAGGAAAAAGAGGAAGGTAAGATATATTTCTAATTAGTAAAATTGGACAGATCAATAATCCTAGGTTGTACCTGAAAGTACCTACTCATTTTTTGCAGGCATTGAGACAGGACAGGTCCTGTCTTCAGCTGCTGACATTGCTGCTGCAGTACAGCACACAATAGCATGCCACATTGCAAAAAGAACACATCGTGCTATCCTCTTTTGTCAACAGAGAGGCTTGTTGTCCCAGACTAATGCAGTACTGGTGAGTGCTTGTCATTTCACATAGTAGTAAAAAGTTTTATAGTTTACTCCTTTTCCCCCCTAGACCTTCATTGACCCTGTGCATTGATGAACAGACCTTTTTCTATGCCATATACTGACCTGACAGTGAAATTATGAAGAATAGTGAGGACTCCAGGATAGAACAGCGTTTAGAGCTCTTGTACATAGGTCACTAGGAGTTGCAAACGACTGGATGGCACATAACAACAACAACTGTGAGGACTCATCTGAACAGCCTGTTTGGAGGGGGGCAAAGAGGCAGCCTAAGGTTACATCTTCTTATTGAGTGAAAAAACATGATTTACAGTAGCGAAACCAAACATAGTAACTACTATTACTGTTTTTTAAATACAAACTTCCTTATATTTCTCTGATGAAATCTCTTTATATGTACCTTACTAAACTTTATGTATAATTGTAACCTGAATCTATCTTACTAATATTATAAACTAAGCTGGACAGATGGTTAAATGATGGTAGATTAACATAGTTAAATGTTATTTAAATATTAAATGTTTCTTTTAATTGTGTAAAAAATGGTAAATAAAAAGGCAAGTCTCAGTTACTTGACTTACTATGGTGACAATCATATTGAAGATATAATTAGAAAAAGATTGGAAGAAAATGTAAAATTACATTATTAGTGATTGTATGTTGCTAGTGGTAAGAAACTGAGCGGCAGTCCCGAAGGCACATGGTTTGAATCACCAGCTGCTCTGCAGGAGAAGGATGGACATTTTCCTCCCATGAGATTAACTGCCTCTGAAAACCCACTGGAGAGTCATTTATGGGTCAGTTTCAACTTGATGGCACACAACAACAAAATTAGATTAGTTGCCCATTACCTACCTATCAAAATTTAATGTTGTCTAATTATAGAATGTAGATATATTCTCCAGGTGCACCTGACAGCTTGGTTCATATCCATATGTCATAGGTATTATTTTTGTCTTCTCAATTCCTTCAGGTTGCATCTGGAGGCGTTGCAAGTAACCTATATATCCGAAAAGCTTTGGGTATTATAGCTGATGTAACTCAGTGCACTCTGTTGTGCCCCCCTCCCAGGCTATGCACTGACAATGGCGTTATGATTGCATGGTAAGTCACGGAATATGTGTGTTTTAACAACAATTATGGAAAGACTTATTAATATTTCATCATACTTAATCCTTTTCCTTTATACTTTGGAGCTATTTATTTTATCTTGATAACTTTTATTTAGGAATGGCATTGAAAAATTACGTGCTGGCTTGGGCATTTTACACAGCACAGAAGGCATCCGCTATGAACCAAAGTACGTGATACTATTCATAATCTTTATGCAAGTTGTATTATATATTTATGTCAAAACCTATAATTGGCTTTTACATATGAAGATTTTATTGACATTCTAGTAGTACCTGGCAGAAAGTCACATTTCTTTAATGTTAAGGATAAAAGTTTGTTAATATTTTAAAAAATGTTTTACTGCAGTATCAAATTATAAAAGTTTTGACAAAATATAGGTTTGAAACAAACTGTGGGGGAGCTCTGGTGGCCTAGTGGCAAGGAGCTGTAACTACAATCCCAGAGGTGCATGGTTCAAATCCACCAGATGCTCTGCCGGGAAAGGAGGGACAATCTCCTCCTGTACCAGTCAAATCTGATTTGATGGTACACGCACACAAAAATAATAACATTTAAAAAAAAAAAAAGAAGAAACAAACTGTGGGTATACGTGATGAATTTTGTCATTTGGGACAAGCCCATGATCTTTTCCAATGTTGAGACAATCTTGGGACCAGCCAATATGCTGGGAAGCTTGGGGGGAAATGTGTAGAAAGCTTTCAGGTATAAAGCTGAGTTATGCTCATGCCCCTCAACAAGCAGCTAAGAAATGGCCACAAGTACAAAAAAAAGTGCTTTCTGCAAGCCTTCTGTACCCTCCTCAAACAGAGTTTTTAAAAATAGCACTCTCCCACCCCCCCATTTATTATTAAATTCTACAATTAATTCTGGACTAGTCAAGGGTGATAATATTTTGTAATCCAACATAATTCTGCTTAGAACATTATCTCATCTAATGTTTTAAAACTTAAATGCATTGTAGTCTATAAGTAGATAGCTGTGCTATAAATCACTGAATTCTAGGCTAATTCATAAATGAACATAGTAGTTGTTATGTGTATTGAGTGGACTGTGACTCATATCACGCCATCCACAGTAGCTCTGAACCTGCCCTATCCTGAGCCAATCTCACTGTCTCTGACACATCTGCCTTCATTGCCCCAGTCACTGTGTCAATCCATCTCATCCAGGGTCTTCCTCTCCTATGCTGTCCCTCCATCTTTTCAAGCTTGATGTCTTTTTCTAGAGACTCATCCCTCCTGGCCACATGCCCAGAGTTTGCCATGAATTCTTGATAGCTAGCCTTACATGGAGTATGTCATCTGAGTTGTGTCCTCTTGAGGAAGGTTTGAGGCTAAGAATTACAGGGGGTTTTTTCCCTTGGTTGAGGTCCACTCAAAGCTTTGTCTTGGGTAATATCATAGAAAAGCAGAAATCTGAGGCTACAGTTATTTACTGAGGAGGAACATAGAGTAAGAGCTAAGACCTCTCCTGCCAGTAGTGTTAATGGAACAACAGGAGTAAGCGAGCTTTAGAAGCTCAGGGAAGACCTAAGAGAAACCTGGGGGATTTTTGACATATACATAGCTACAGATTTGACTTTGACTAAATAGTAAAATATTTTGATCCTTTCACTAGGTCAAGAATTTGAAGATTTAAAAATTTTCTCTTTCATTTTACATCTTTGTTTACCATATTTAAAAACCATAGATCACTTTAAGAAAACATCTTAATATTTAGAGTTATTAATGAGATTGATCTTAACTTAGTCCTTTATCTTGAGGGTTCATTCTATTCATATATATTTAAATAATTATATAGATTCTTGGACTGTTTGTTAGAATTCTGGTGACAGAACATGAAGCAAATGTCAGAAATAATGTGATTTGTCTGATTATGCTGCAGATGTCCTCTTGGAGTAGATATATCAAAAGAAGTTGGAGAAGCTGCCATAAAAGTACCACGATTAAAAATGGAGATTTGATATTTGTTTTACAAAAAATAAACAAAACCAACAAAACTCTAATGGTATTAAACTCAAGTCTCTAAACAAGCTCAGGTGGCCTAGTGGCAAGAAACTGTGCTACAATCCCAAAGGCATGTGGTTTGAGGCCACCAGCTGCTCCACAGGAGAAGGATGGACAGTCTCCTCCTATGCAATTAAGTGCCTCTGAAAATCCATCAGCTATGGCTTGGTTCTGACTCAACGGTAAACAACAACATCATTCATCTGATAACAAATTATAGAAAGTATATAATATTAATTATTGAGTACTTTGTTATTCTTTTTCTTATCTTTAATTCTCAATTTGTTTTTCTGAGAGACTGCATTATTATGTTATAGTTTTATAAAAGAGCATAACTTTTCTTACTATTGAAAGCCAATATTGAAGGGAAGAGATAAGATCAGTAAGTAGAGAATAAAAATATATTAAGATGGGTGTGGGGAAAGGTAATATAAGGATATGATCAGGATATCATGAAAGAAAGGGAAGATACAGAGAAGAGCAAGAGAGGGGAAACTAAAGTAGAATATTTTCTGAACAAAATTTATATATCAATAAATAAAATGCACCAACACAGTGGTTGTAACCATAGGCTCAAGCATAACAATGACTCTGACAATAGCATAGATGGTACAGTTTTTCCTTCTTTTGTAAACAATTATTGTGAGGACAGTCAAGACAGGGTAGTACTTCCTTCTGTTGTACATAGATTCTCTGCTTGATGGCATCTAGCAACATTATAATACAGAAAATTTTATTATATTACAGAAATTTTACTCTTTTTTTTAAAAAAACCCGGTAATTCTGACTGATGTTAAATACATCATACATGTTAAGGAAAATCTCCTTAATATCAATACAAAGGACTTTCTTTTAAAATGATTGCTCAGGAATCCTTTCATATTAAAGCTTTTATAAACTTTCTGGGAGCTCCGTTTTGGTTTTCTGTACATGTTTCCCAAGTTGGCTCAAAACCACTATTCTTGGTCTTGAAACTTTTATAATATCTGATGAAGAAGAAGATGAAAAAGAAAAGATATTATGAGAAACAGTGGCAGTTTCTGTTGTTCTGAAAAGTCCCATGAAGTTAGTTGCAGGAGGTATTAAAGTCAAAGAATCTCTTGGTTGAATTTTAGGTTTTGATTTTCTTCGATGTTCTTTTCCTAAAAAGAAGAGAACCATAATTAGGTTTCTCATTTTAAGCCTAAAACTCCTAATAGTCTCATTACTTACAGTTCTGTGTAGTTCTTTTTACTTTGTTAGGACATAACAGATCAGTTCATTTCAGACTTTCCAGTTTCTAAAACTAAAAAAATTTGTGAGCCCTAGTAAATGATTACCAAATTTGTATTATGTTAACTTGGCATTTAAAAAAAAAATACTTTAAACTTTTTTGTAAAAGGGGATATTTAACAGCAGAAGAAAGTAGAAAAGCAATTATCAAATGGTGGACTTTAAATTGAATGAAATTATTTTTTATCAACAGTTTGCTGTATTGTCCGTGTCTACCCCCAACTCACTGAAAACTTAATCATGTCATAACTAGTTATTGTTTAGATATCAATATTAAAATAAAGAAAAAGTGGGACTGACTTTATTTTTTGAAGGTATAAATTATCCTTATACTAAATAAACCACATAAACAGGTACTCTTCTACCTATGATATCCAGAAATACAGCTTTTCACAATTCCTAGCAACCTTCAATTACTCCCTGAATAAATGAAGTTCTTTTCTCTCCTTTTACTATATCCTTAGTCTCTTTCCATTTATGACTCCAGAAAACTAATTTTGACTTTTGAGTGGTTGTATCTTTTATTTTTATTATAGGCTAGTATACCAAGTAAGGCTGATTTTTTTCTTCATACAATAAGTACTCGTAAATAAACACTAAGAAATAACTGAATAAATAAGTAATTTATTTCCTCTATTATGTCTATTATAAAGGGATTAGTGGCATTAGAACATCTACATACTTACCTTTGCAGGCCTAGAAAACTGAGTAGTCATGCAAACTATTAAGAAAACTATACAGAGCATTAATGAGAAAAAATTGCTTCTGTTCTAATGTTAAAAGCATTCGAAAGCTGGACAATTACTAGGGATGATAGAGGAAATTATGCCTTTGAGCTGTGGTGCTGGAGAAGAGTATTGAATATATACCATGGACTGTCAGGAGAACAAACAAGTTTGCCTGCAGAGGGTGAAACAAGGCTTCTCCTTGGAGGCAAGGATACTTTGGACGTGTTGCAAGGAGGGACCAGTCCTTGGAGAGGGACATCATGCTTGGGAGGGTGAAGGGACAGCACAGGAGAAGAAGATCCTCAATGAGATGTATTGACCCAGTGACTAGGGTAATGGGAACAGGTGTGTTGGAGACAGTGAGATTGGTACAGCATAGGGCAGGGTTTAGGGCTACTGTACATAGGGTCTCTATGAGTCGCAGGCAACTCAACAACAATAACAAAAATGTAAGAAAGTAAATAATTTGTGTTATATTACGTGTTGATTAAAAACATTTCTATTCATGAGGAAAAGTTAAGAGAGTTATCAAGTGATATTAGTAGGGAAGATCTTAAAAGAAAGGATTAGTATATTCTTATAAATGGGAAGTTAATCTAGAGACATGGGACTATAAATGGCACATGGTTCTTTAGTCACTCCTTTATTCTGGATTTTGATAAATGGAACATAAAGTTTTAAAATGTCAGAACTAGAGGCACCCCAGAAAATAAGGGGGAAATTCATTACCTTTTTTAAAGACAGGAATTATAGATGGTCCTCCATTTTTCTCAAGACTAAAAGGAAAACATTTTTATCATAAAGATTTGATAAATGTAAAGACTTAGTGCCCCTAGGTATCATATTCAATGCCTAAAAGTTTAATTTATGCATATTATCTGTTATAACCAATGTAGCCTACTTCTGCTGTTACCAAATTATTATTCTGTTTTTTGACACTTGATTATATTATAAGTCTTAATGTATCTAGCATTCTGTTGACCAAATATCTTAGTTCACTGGAGCACATGTTTACAAGTTTTGTACTAAATAATGGTCAAGTGATGAGCAAAGGCCATCCAACAATATTTTCTGAAAAATATCACAGAATTATACTTTATTACAGAGAAGTGGAGAGCTTTAAAAAGTAAGAAATTGCACTGCCAACCCAAATGCAAAAGTTTTCACTTCACCAGCTTCTCTGCAAGAAAAAGAGGAGCATCTACCTGTGGTCAACTAATTTTTGACAAGGAGATGAAATCAGTTAAGTGGAGAAACAATAGCCTTTTAAACAAATGGTGTTGACAAAATTGGAAAACTACCTGACAAAGACTCAAGCAAGTTCCACACCTCACTCCATACACAAAAGCCAAATCTAGGTGGATCGTGGACCTAGGACTAAAACCAAGGACTATAAACTTCATTAAAGAAAAGCTAGAAACAATGCTAGAAGTACTAATCCACAACATGAACAGTCTTGCAAGCATCCTGAAAAATCTACAGCCACGAGAAGATAAAATAGATGAATGAGACTTTCTAAGAATCAAATCCCTATGCACATCTAAAAACTCCTCCAAAAGGGTAAAAAGGGAAACCACAGACTGGGAAAAAGTATTTGGGAATAACATGTCAGATAAGGGACTTATATCTAGAATTTATAAAATACTTGAGCACCACAACAAGATAAAGGTAAACAACCCAATTGAAAAA